TCCCGACGGATAGCCGCAGCCAAACCATCCAGCATACGTCCAATCCGGGAATCCGCGTCCGGGACCGACATATCAAAAATAACAGCAGATTTGATCCTTCAGGGTGTCCAGGGCACGGGGATCGACGTCGAAACCTTGCTTGAACCACGCAATCCATTCTGTCTATCGTGTCGATGGCATGGGCCCATGGCTACGAAGTTGTGTACACACCGCCTATCATTTGGATCTGCAGCCTATCGAGTACGTGTGGGCTTACCTGAAGGGAAACGTGGGTCAGCAATACACCATGGAAACGACCATGACGACCATGGAAGACGTGCGGGTGTGGCTCGACTTAGCCTTCAGCGAGCTAAAAGGTGATTTGATCTATCGTTGATTCAATCATACCAAGAAGAAAGTGCTTGAGCTGAACACGTACGTGTTGAGTTGGAAGCCTCCGAAGAAGTCCTAAACGAGCCTGCTTTGGCGAACGACGACGAGGCCAGCGATGACGACGAAAGTGATGACGACGACCATTTACGGATGTCGTAGATGGGCCACCTGTAGTGATGTAATACTTGTATGCTTCGATATTTCTTACCATTGAATTTGCACAGGTTATTTCTCCAACATACAGAAAATAGCACTCGTGTAAAATGATGCAGTTAAAAAATATCGATGGTCTCGTCGACTGTAAAGACAATTACGCAATACGGTAGCGTCAATTCAATTCACGGTTAACGACCTCGCGTAGGTTGACGGTCGTGTTTGCCTTAATTTCTGTCAGACGCGCAACACGATCGTTTCCGACAAAGTCGGATCCACAACGAAGAGCTCAGTGTTCAACTTGTTCGAGATTGAGAAACATCTTGCTGATGTAGAGCGAGCGCATCCATGTGGTTGCCTTGCGGGATATAGTCCGGTGCAGAGTAAAATTCAGCACGATCGCGGGACGTCGCTTCAGACAAGAAGTCCGTTTTTCAGAGCCTGTAGGCCAGAGTCCGGGGATCATCGAGAGGGGTGCCCACAAAGGGCTGCACAGAGGAAGGGAGAAGGGTCATAACCTGTCAAGAGGGTCGAGGAAGTAGGTAGCACTGAGAAGGGACGATCACGAAGAAGGCTTGTGTGGTCGAGGACAAAACCAAAAGTGATCATTAACGGACTGCTTAGCTGAACTATGATTGGGCAGAAACAGTCCAGCTTCTACAGAAAAAGAGACACCAGATAATTCCGGATGACCGGATATTATCCGTGAGTGACCGAACCTCGGCGAAATAGGCCAAAAAAGGAAGAACGGCCAAAGTGCCCCTTCTTGATGCTGGTTCAGTGTCAAGACGGGGCACTTTGGCCGTTCTTGCTGAACGAATATACTCGGAACTTGCCTTTATTTTGGTGTGAATTTGACTCAGCTGCTGAAGATTGCCACGTGGTACGGTTGAGTGTCAGAATAAGAGGGAAAGTAACCTCAATATATTATTCCTATTCAAATATAAGACTCCTTTATCATTTTATAAATTCCAGTCTGCTGGTACAATCACCCGCATATCCCGCAGGACGGATATCACTTGCACTTAAGTCAGCCACCTCCTCACCAAGGCCAAGCACAAGTAGTGTATGGGTCTACGCTACTGTACTCTATTCCACATGTCAACTTCAAAGTCTCATCAGATGGATTGGTGGTTTCAGACACCTTGGTCAGTTTTCCTTATGGGAATCCGGCTGGATGCGTTGAACGACTTGCACGCGTGCATGGACTTCGCTTCAATGGTTCACATTTTTTGGCCAACTTCAATTTTCTTTTCGCTCGACGCTGGTCAAAGTCCTCATCTCCCTCAGCGTCTTGGCCACTGTCGCTACGGCTGGCTCCGTCACGGAACTCCCCGAGTCTGTGAACAAGCTCATCGACATATCTCCATTAGACTTTTACCAATATGCATGTGGCGCGTGGTACAACGATGCTGTGATACCCCCGGACATACACCGAATTGATACGTCATTCAACAAGATAGGCATCCAAAACGAAGCCGTATTGACGAAGATTTTCTCTCACAACAAGACCAAGCTTGGTAAGTGTGGTGAGTTCTACAACTCCTGTTTGGACACGGCTACGCTATCGTCGCTCGGACTGACTCCGCAGGAGGACTGGTTCAAAGCCATTCGGTCCGCTAGTACCAAGTTGGACCTTCTCATCGTGAATTGGTCAACAACGGCATCCCTGCCTTCGTGAACATCTACTCCAGAGTTGATGACAACGACTCGACCAAGAACGCCCTCTTCGGTTTCCAAGCCCCCCTGCCGCTGGACTCATTTTACTACACCCCTTCCCAGTGGGAGTACGCCGAACCCATGCACAAGGTGTACATTGCGTAGGTGTTGCAGCTAGCTGGCTGCACTGCTGAGGAAGTGGCCGCCGCCGTGCCAGTGATCACGCGTTTCGAGGACACTCTGGCCAATGTGGACCTCAATGAGCTCCAGGAGATAGAGGCCGTTGTGTCTCCGTATACTGCGTTGACGTACTATCAAATGGACCAGAAGTACCCGCTGCTTCTCGGCTCGTGGCTCAAGACCAACGGATTCAACGTCCGCGACGAGTACAGTGGGTCGAACGACTGGGTGGGGTTTAAAGACTTGACACGACCGAAGGAAGAGTTATTGAAGAACACGACGCTGGACAACCTCCGCACCGTCATGGAGAACAAGCTCATCCATGCCTCGTCGAAACACTTGACCCTGAATTCCGCAAGTACAACTGGAACTTCTTCGGCAAGACCATCCGTGGCAAAGAGGTGGAACCTTCACGTGAAAAGTTCTGCATATCTGAGACGGGCGACACCATCGATGAATTCTTGGGCCAGTACTTCTTAGACGAGGTGTGGTCAGTTGATACAGCCAAGACAGCCGACGAACTGGTCAATGCTTTGAAGTCGTCCTTCACCACCGACATTGCCACCACCGACTGGTTGGACAACTCGACTCATCAAACTTACCAAGCTTGGTTTTCTCGCTTGGTCTTGTTGTCAGAGAAAATCTTCGTCAATACGGCTTCGTTTTGGATGTCTAACTTGTTCAACGACCTATCAATTCGGTGTATGTCCGGGGG